AAAAGGCTAAAATATACATCAGTATCTGTATCTATCAGTGTCAAACAACAAATAATAATTAAATAGTGCCAGACAGTTGGAAAGTGTCGCAAACCCATCTTAAGGTCGTAGTATGGAATAGCATCACACATTTTGACACACGCTCATATTTGGTAATCAATCGAGAAGACAATCAGAGTCAATTGGGATTCAAACCCTCGATGACCAGGCCCTGGTTCGGCCACAGCTATTCCCTGTGTACTGAATGTCAAACCTTCATTTGGAAGCTTGCAATGTATTGTCTTCTCCTTTCAGTTCATTTGTTCCTACCTGCTGTACCCAGTTGCCTGGTTCATGGGTACACAACCAGCTGACTGTCGTCGTGTGGCGGAGCTGGTGGGCGTGAAGACCTTCACGAACGAATTTATCGCCTACTAAATCTCTCCAGGAACTGTTGCAAAACAGACAGACGTTCCTGAACTACACAGAGACCTACGGCTACAAGGACGAGTGGTACTGGGATGACCAAGCTGTTGTTCTTACTCAGTGGAATATGACGCTTAAGAGAGGATTCATGGAGGTTCGTGTTTGCTGCATTATTCCATCTGAAGTTACTTGAGCAAGACACATTGTTGTACGTCGTTCACGTGGAACATGGTTTGCGTATATTTTCTTCTTATTCGAAATAATATAAAATAAAATGTCGTTTATGAGCATGTCCAGTGGACCTATATTTGGAAAATGTGTAAACATCTGAAACCACTGAAAGGTTTTCTACCAAACCCACACCTGAGACAACTTAAATATTGAGTGAGTGAGTCTGGACGAGACAATCCAGTGACCAACAGCATGAGCATCGACCTACGCAACTGAGATACGATGACATGTGTCAACCAATTCAGCAAGCCTGACCACCAGATCCCGTTAGTCGCCTCTTACGACAAGCATGGGTTACTGAAGATCAACTCTTACCCGGATCTTCACGGGTACAATGTAAATAGTTGTTGTTGTACAGCTGTCGGTTCATGCATGTTATCTAATCCTACGTTTTGTTTCATACGTTCCAGGAACGCTCAGAGGTCATATCAACGTATGCATTATGTGGGTTTTCCAACGTCGGGTCGATGGGCATCCTTCTAGGTGCATTATCGGCGCTCGCTCCGTCTCGGAAGAAAGACCTTGCCTCCATAGTCCTCAGGGCAATGATAGCAGGAAATGTCGCATGCTTTTGACAGCATGTATAGCGGGTAAGAAAATATTTTAGTTAGTGAGTGAGTATGGTTTTACAGCGCTTGTAGCAATATTCCAGCAATATCACGGCGGGGGACACCAGAAATGGGCTTCACACATTGTACCCATATGGGGAATCGAACCCTGATCTGGGAGGTGACGAGCGAACGTTTTATCCACCTCACCGCCCCTTTTTAATTTTAGAAAAGTAAACATCATCGCATTTTGCACTGAAGTGTTTCAAATATCATTTGCTAAGCTCTCAGTTTCAATGAATGTCCCTGTTATAGGCACTGACAGCCTTGTGCGTAATTCAATGATTGATTCTCGGCTTGCTTGTACATATGCCGGGGCGGTGGGGTAGTCTAGTGGTTAAAGCGTTGGCTCGTCACGCCGAAGACCCGGGTTCGAATCCCCACATGGGTACAATGAGTGAAGCCCATTTCTGGTGTCCCCCGCCGTGATATTGCTGGAATATTGCTAAAAGCGGCGTAAAACCAAACTCAGTCAGTCAGTCAGTCAGTTGTACATATGCCGACCGCTGCCGTTTCTATTGTCACAATATCGATACGCAATCTACAATAGTAATACGTGTAGAAAATCGAAGCAATACAATAATTAAGGTATGTATGTGATATTTCATCTAATATATTCTCTTTTCAGGTTTGTTTTTCCGAGAATTCTGAGCCACCAGTGAGGAACCATATAATAGTGGGTTCGGCAACCAAGCAACCTTTGAGATCTGCATACTCTATGCACCATCGTACTCGACAAATATGAACAATGGCAGGAAGGATGCATAATACCTGTTTATAATATTCTATACATAACGGATTGGATAATCAGTACAAAGTGGTTCGCTCATATGTTTAGTGTTTTCCAAAATAGGAGTGATTGTATAAATATTTGTTAGTTGAAATATGGATGACAGAGTGCCGACGTAAGTTACGAAACCTACTTAATCGTGAGAGAGGATATCCTGGACCGTAATATATATTACAAATATTTATGATATTGTTTAGAAACTTACATATCAACTTGAAAACCAACCACCACAACTACAAGCTCGGGAATGGTGAAACTTAATTTGATAGGTAGTAAGGCAATAGACTTTTAGTTTTATAACTGTAAACAAATAGCATTTTGGAGACACTGAAAGCAAAAGTTCCAAAGACACGAAAGTTAATGAGAGTATTTTGTTTCCCAATATGACTGATTTCTTTTGATGTCATAGGTTGGTAGGGAAAGTTTATAGGATAAATATAATACAACCTGAGAATAATGTTTTAGAAATGTTTTTACGAAAGCAACAATATATACTTTACCGTGACATGATACACTGACACTCACAAAACGGGCGGTGGGGTAGCCTAGTGGTTAAAGCGTTCGCTCGTCACGCCGAAGACCCGAGTTCGATTCCCCACATGGGTACAATGTGTGAAGCCCATTTCTGGTGTCCCCCGCCGTGATATAGCTGGAATATTGTTAAAAGCGGCGTAAAACTGAACTCACTCACTCACACTCACAAAACCTGTACTCAGGTTTAATTATAACAAAAATTTAATGTTTTTTATGTTTAATAAATTCTGGGCTCAGCTTTGACCATCTTGGACGAATGGCTATGTTTTAAAATGTCTTTTATCCGTGGACCTGCTGTATGGTATTCAGTAATACGCTTCACATGTTTAAACGCATGACAGGGATCTCATACTTTCCCTTTTATGACATTCCACTTTGCATGTATTGTAGCGCCACGCGTTCTATAATGGTTAAACGTGCTATACTTACTCTTATATGTTGCAACATCATCCGCATTGAAAGCATACTTTAGGTTACTCTAGCAATCTGTAGTAAAGACAGTATTACTATTACTAGTATATTTAAATTTTAGGATTATTATTACTATTTTGATGAAACCCACTTTTTGTTGAGAATTCGGTACAACATAGAAAGCATATTGAATCCTGTATGTTGCTATGCCATCCGCGTACTTTAGAACAATTGGGCAGTGGTTGACTGGGGCAGTAACTTGTCATTGAGGAGTGCTGTTTAAGAGGTTTAAATGAAACTGCAGGTTTTCTTATTTATATATTCACAACCATCAAACCTCTCCAAAATCACTCTTTGAAAAGAAAAGTTGGTTGAATGTAAATTAAAGCGTTAACGTTGTTTGAATAACTTGTTTCTGCTCAAAGAAAGCAGGACTGCAAAATCACTTCAGACAGTTAAAATATGTGTAGCGACAAATCCATGTTCATTATCACAAGAAATCATTCCAAATTTGTACGTCAGAGCACCGTATGACCATTGACATTGACTCATTATCTTACTTGACCTTGAATCATAATTATATTTGACCTTGACTCATTATCTTACTTGACCTTGAATCATAATTATATTTGACCTTGAATCATAATCTTACCTGACCTTATATCATACTCATAGTTGACCTTGAATCATAACCCCTGTCCTTTGGTATTTGAATCTTTAGGAAAGTTTGATAACATGAAAAGGCAACCTGTATCTTAAATAATAATTTCAGGAAAATATTCCTTGATAGTCATTTTCGAACTATTTAAATAGGATAAACCACACGAGTTTTAATAATTCTTTTTATACCAGAAAATTTGCTCAAATGTATAATTCCCATCTATTCAGTGTTGCTTATATTTTATGTTGTGCTGCTATTACCATGTTCCATAGACACATATGAACAGGCAGTTGAAGTCATGATCTAGATGGTTATAGCAAAAGCACACTGCCCATGGTAACATGATATGTAACATAAGTTCGTGATGTTTATATGTTTTTATGCATGTTTTATAATAAAACTTTCTGTTAGTGATTGTGTTTGTAGTCTTATCAATCCAACAATATAAAGACGCTATCTCGGTATACTCAGCTAGCGTGCTAACGTTACATCTTCAATACGACATCAAGAGTGTATGTCAGTATTGTTAGTGTGTGAGTTGGATTTTAAGCCGCTTGGAATAGCATTATTCCAGCAATTTCACGGCGGTGGACACCAGAAATGGGCTTCATATATTATACCCATGTGGGGAATCGAACCCGGGCCTTCGGTGTGTCGAGAGAACACTTTGACCACAAGGCTACCCCAGCGCCCCAATATTTTTAGTGAATTCGTAGATTCGTCCAAAAAAAACAGGGCTCTCAGTAGGTCAGCGTCCCGTGTAGGCCACATTTTAGTGTTACTATTTTGTACATTACTCTCAGCAATATTCCAATTATATGGTGTCAGCCTGTACATAGTTATGTTCCTGATAAAACCAGTGGTGGATAACAAGAACATCGTCTCATTACGTCGGGGTAGGAGAGTGCAATCCCAAAACGTAACAATCAAAACTAATTATTCCTACACCAAAGGCACATGGCTTGCTGGGGGTTCGGTTCTTACCCGATATCCTCAAGCAGTACTCGGGATCTACATTCACTGGCACTAGTGATGTGCATGGGCGGACGTCTACCAGGACTTAACTTGAACTCAATACACCGGGTATATCCTGTTTCTTAAGGCGTTGGCTATTGCCGCCGGCTCGGACTGTTACTTACACAAATGGATTTGTTCCCTGCTTGGACATCCGTATGTTTAACGTGCAAACACGCAAGGGCTAAAAATATTTTAAATAAAATGTTTTTCATTTAAAATGTACCTTGTTATGAAAGCTCTTATGTTGTTGTTGATCGAGTAACTTTGCTTCCGAAACACTTTTTTAATAAATGTAGATGCAGAAAGATCCACATCACCCGATAAAGGTATTTTGACATCTCACATGGCATTTACATTTCCACACTGGCGGGGAAAAGTGGGATAAGGACACTTTTATTATTTCACGTTGGAATGAAAATGCAGGGCGGGCGGGGCAACTATTGACTGGCTTCAGAAATCGGTATTACGTTGCCGTTCGTATAATAGTGAGTGAGTTTAGTTTTACGCCGCAATCAGCAATATTCCAGCTATATGGCGGCGGTCTGTAAATAATCGTCTGACAATCCAGTGATCAACAGCATGAGCAATCGGGAACCGATGACATGTGTCAACCAAGTCAGCGAGCCTGACCACCCGATCCCGTTAGTCGCCTCTTATGACAAGCACGAGTTAGTGAAGATCAATATTCTAACCCGGACCTCCACGGGTTCGTTCGTATAATAGTTTATCTATGACTTACTGTTAGTACGGTTTTCATATGTACAGTCAGTTACCAGATTAACAGAACGGCAGTTCAACAGAATAGTGATATATACAGAAGTTGATTCGCATTAATGTAATACCATACGCCGTGTACGTTTACAATCCAGGTTTCTATCTCACAAAGCTGCTTAGCAATACGGTGATCGGAACTCTCATACTACATTTGACCTACGACTCTCACTGCGCTGCGCCCGATTTGTGAAACGCCGCACTGCGCCAAGACTAACGCTTAGTCCCTGAATATATATCATTTTGAATGTAACCAATACACTCATGTAAATTGAAAATGAGCCCCAGTGAATTGTGGGATTATTGGGGAAATCTTGGGAAATCTAGACTTGCTTCATTTAGGGTTTTAACATTGCAAGGAGTAGGGAAAATATTGTGGTTCAGGGACTATGAGACAGACTACCCTGGGGCACGAAGTTTACATTTACGTAACAACACCCTATGACCCAATTGGTGAACAGGAAACGCCAGCGGGAATAATGTCATGTGACGGCAGCCTTGTAGCAATGTTGCTGGGGTCATCAAGTGAGCACAGGCTCCTCTCTGTGTTCTATCATTTCAACACGCATTGTCATTGAATAAGCCCAGCGTTATTGAGAGTTTTCGTCCATTTGTTATTGAAGCGAGTTTATGTACAAAAGGAGCATGTTCGTTGGTATAACACACAAGCTTATTGGTATTAGACGGTGGTATCTTCAACGGGCGAACGATGTAATACAATTCACTCAAAAATCTTTAGAAATGAAAGATCCTTCACAAATTTAGAAATGTCCCTTTCTCAAACAACACCATCGAGTGCAGTGAAAATTTACATGAGGGAAGGTTATTAAGTTTGGTGTATATTGTTAAACATGAATTGCTTTATGATTGGGATGACATGAAGTGCTGTGTGAAACATATACTAACATAAAACGTATACAGTTATGGCGATGAGTGAGTGAGTGAGTGCGTTAGTTTTACGTCGCAATCAGCAATATTCCAGCTATATGGCGGCGGTCTGTAAATAATCGAGTCTGTACAAGACAATCCAGAGATCAACAGCATGAGCATCGATCTGCGCAATTGGGAACCGATGACATGTGTCAACCAAGTCAGCGAGCCTGACCACCCGATCCCGTTAGTCGCCTCTTACGACAAGCATGGGTTCCTGACGATCAATATTCAAGTTATGGCAATGGGTCCCGATGTACACACAACTGATTGTCCATATCATTTAGAAAACTATGTTTGGCGAAATGTGTGTGATTTAACATGAAAAATATGAAATATAAAATAAATTCGTTGTGTGCATCAATCATAAATGTGTCCAAGGGGCGTTTTCCTTCAGGCGGTGTTTACCTATCATCGAGCAGAGTGTTTCACTTATGTCATGTTTTTTCCTGGTATGTAAGAAGACAAGAACAGGGCTGATCATGTTGCGTTCCACACGAATGAGCACAACGCAGCCTGTACAGAGCAGTGCAGGCATTGCTTGCAGCCATGCACCATTGAGGTTAATCGACTCACATGATATGCGTCATTCGTCTCCAAGAAACAACGACACATGTGTGTACCTGTGGAGAGCTCCGTCGGAAAGAGAACTTGATTCCCATTTACAGACGCAGTGAAAAGGACATCCCTTTGTCGGGATGAGTGTTGAGGTGTCTAGAAGCAGCCCTAAAGCTGAAGACGGTACGGCGACAGATGAAGACAACTCTGGTTTCGTGAGACCAAGTTCTGACAGTCTTATGAATGTAAGGCGATTTCACTTATATTGCTGTCATCTATGTCGTTACGAGGTCTGTGTCTGATCATCTACCTGTACGATGTACGTTTCAGTCACGTGGCATACACGCCACTCTACGCGAGGATGGTAACGTAACACAGGATGCACGTGGCGAGGGTGCACAGTTTAGATTTAAGTGGGATGTGGACAAGGTCGGCCAATTCAGGGAGAATTTACTTTCTCCTGATATATTTAGATTGCTGGAAAGCTTTTGTGATAACGTTCTTTCAGATATTTGCAACGCAGTAACATTTCTTACAAATGCAATATGTCAAGCTGCGCAGTGCATGAAACGCAAACATGGCATAAATAGACGAAATTCACAACCTTGGTTTGACAAAGAGTGCACATTTCTAAGACATGAGAAAGACAGACTC